TTCGAACACTTGACGTAACTTCGCAACCAGAACAAATAGAGTTCCGAAATTTTCTGAGTGTGGCCCAGAATGTGTTTTAGCAAGCGCACGCGTAAACAGCATTCGCGCACCTCCTTACCTACGAACACGTAAAATTTGGCGTAACTTCGCAAAAATTTAAAGCGTGACCCAGCAACGTGTTTAGGCAAACGCATGTGGAGGCGACGGCTACCCCTCATTTGCGAACGCGTGAAATTTGGCGTGACTCTGCAGCTGAAGCATCTAGAGTACTGAATTTTTTGGGCACAGGGGTCATTGTAATAATTTCTAACAGTCATGATTTAGCTAGAAGCACTCTTAATTAAAAGCACTTGCCGGAAAAAAAACAATGCCCTTAGCAACAAAGACCTGTGGGGAAATTGCGTGGAAAACGCACCTTCGCACCGGCAGTCGGTGCGCTGTTAGCTATGTTTATGTACTTGTACATTATATATGTATATATGTGTATATATATATATACTGATCCATTCATCGTCAAAATCGAACGTACTGAATATATTTAACTATTAGCAGCCCTCAAAAATAACACAAGCATATGTTTTGGAGGTATAAAAACAAAATTTGATGTAGTGTAAACGCAGAAATTGTATCATTCCAAGTGATCCCACGCTGTGTTATGCATGTCGGTAATATCAGTGTTTCAGCACCAATAGTCCGGGCAGTTTTGGTGAGCCCGGAATACAAAGAAGAAACCCCGGCGGTCCCTGTTTTTGAAAGTCTTTGAAATACTATGGCACTGTGCAAACAAACTTAAGAATTCATGTCAAACCTGGGAACGATGGAATTTGTTTCATAGCGATTGTGGAGTGGAGTAGAGCTGGTCTTTGGCTTGACACCATCACTGTACTGATGTACGCATGGCGACACTTTTGCAGTGTTTATGGTCACTGACTTCGGCGGATCCACTTCTTCGCGGCTCAAGTAGCCAACCCAGGCAAGCTCCAGCAGTGAGCAGAATACAAAAGTCATACAACTTAACATCCAAACGTCTATCGCCTAAAATGCTGAACGCCCTCGCAGACTTATATCATCATAAATAACAATTATACTGTTGAGGTGCAAAGTTTGCCCTAACTTCTTCTGATTAGGATAAATTGTGACAATGCGTAAGCAATAATGGCTTCTCCAACACTAACAGAGCATCGACTGCTTAAACAACACCTTTCAGTAAGCAAAGTATTCCTTCAGTAAGCATGGTATTCCAAGT